TTTGAAATTACCTTATCTGAAATTCCCTAATTTCTATGGACTATAATCCATGAATATGACCTTCTCTAAGTAAATTACAAGTTTTCCTCCCTCATAGAATATTTATGCATATTCTGAAATTTTTGAATTTTGGTGGATTGTAACCTTTGATTATGGTCACTTTCAAGCAAATCACAAACTGTCATCTCACATGGAATATATTATATGTAGTACAAAGTTCTCAAATTTCTGTGGACTATAACCTATGATAGTACCCATTTTTAACCAAATTACAAACTGCCGTCTTTTAAAGAATATTATATGCATACTCTGAAATTGCTGAAGCTTTGTGGGTCATAAACCTTGAATTTGATTGTTTCCCACCAAATCACAAATTCCCATCACGCAATATTTTATGCATATTCGAAAATCCCCAAATTTTATTGGGCTACTGTAACTCATAATTGTGGTTGTTTTCGACCAAATCACTGATTGCCATCCCACATAATATTTTTTGTATAGTTTGAAAATTTTGATTTTTAATGGACTATAACTCATGATTTGGTCGTTGAGCAAACACAAGCAGCCGTCTTGCATAGAATATTTTACGCAATATCTGACTTTCCTGAATTTTTAAGAGGACTATAATGCATGATTTAGGCCATATTTGATGAAATCTAATGTTGATGTCCCGCATAAAATATTTTATCCATGATTTGAAATTCCTGAGTTTCTGTGGAATCCATGATTTTACTGTTTTCAATCAAATCACAAGTTGTCTCGCAAGAGTATTTTATGCGTACTCCGAAATTCTTATTTCTATAGGCTATATAACCCATTATTTTGGTCGTTTTCGACTAACTCACAAATTGACGTCCCACAAAGAATATCTTATGCGTAAATGAAAATTCCTGAATTTCTATGAACTATAACTTATGATCTTGGCTGCTTTCCACCAAATTACAAATTTCCATCACACAAAATATATATTATGTTTGCACCTATATTACTGAATTTCTATAAAGTATAGCTAATGATTGTGGTCTTTTTTGACGAAATCACAAATTATTGTACCACATATAATATGTTATGCATACTCTGAAACTCCTAAACTTTTGTGAACAATCCATAATTTCGACTGTTTTCGACCACGTCACAGATTGACTTTCCATAACTAGTATTTTATACGTAAACCAAAATCTTGAAATTCTGTGGACTATAACCTTTGATTTTGGCTGCTTTTTACCATATTACAAATTCCCGTGCTGTATAAAAGATATTATGCGTATTCCTAAATGCCCAAAATTTTGTGGATAGCTCTTGATTGTGGAGGTTTTCGAGTAAATCACAAATAACAAAGATTATGCGTAGAACCAGCACAAAATATATTATGGTGTTGCTATACCGAGATCGCAAATTGTAGAAATTATGATTAGAACTCCCACAAAATATTCTATTAAATATTTTTCCATGCTAGATAAAATATATTATGTGTATACCAAAATCCTCGAATTTTTGTGTGCTATAGCTCATGATTTGGTGGTTTTCGACGAAATCACAAATCACAAAGTTTTATTTGGTAATTCAGCCTTTATTGTATAGAATTGTATGTTTATTAAATTATCGTTCTGATGGAATAATATTATATGTTGTACAAATTTCTTGAATTTCTATGGATTATAGCCTATGATTGAGCCATTTTCAGCCAAATCACAAACTGTCGTCTTGTAGAGAATATTGTATGTGTACTTTGAAATTTCAGAGTTTTTGTGGACTATAAACCATGATTTTGTTTGTTTTCCACTAAATCACACAACTCACAGAATATAACTCATGATTTCGGTTGTTTTCTACCAAATCACAAATTTTCATTCAACAGAAAATATCTTATGCATAGTTCAAAATTTTTTATTTCTGTGCAATTGATTTTCTTCGTTTTCAAGCAAATCACAAGTCAACGTCCTGCATAGAATATTTTAAGCATACTTTGAATTTCTTGAATTTATGTGGACTATAATCCATGATTTAGGCCGGTTTCAGGCTTTCAGCCAATTCAAAAGTTGTCATCCCGCATAGAATATGTTATCCCTACTTTGAAATTCTTGAATTTTGTGGACTATATATAATCCATGATTTCTGACGTTTTCAAGCAAATCAGATGTCATTCCGCAGAGAATATTTTATGCTACTCCTAAGTCCCAGTATTTTTATAGACCCATGACTTCGGCCATTTTCGACCAACTCACAAATTAAAGTTTTGCAAAGAATATTTTATGTGTAAATAGAAATTACTGAATTTCTGTGAACTATAACCCATGATTTTGATGTTTTCTACCAAATTACAAATTGCCATCACGCATAAAATATATTACGCGTACACCAAAATTCACGAATATATGTGGACTATACCTCATGATTGAGTACATTTTCTTCCAATTCATGAATTTCTGTACCACAGAGATTTTTCATGTGTACTTAAATTTTTTTGAATTTTTGTGGACTTATTAACACATGATGTTGAACATTTCAAGCAAATCACAAATCATCTTCCCACATAGAATATTTTTTACATACTTGAAAGTTCCTGAATTTCTGTGAGCTATACTACATGGCTTTGGCCATTTTCGACCAAATCACAAAGTGTCATCTCGCATGGAATATATTACGCTAGTGCTAAATTCTTGAATTTCAATGGAGTAGACACATAATCGTGGTCGTTTTCAACAAATCGCAAATGAGGTTCCGCAGAGAAAATTTTATGCGTACTCTGAAATTTCCAAATTTCCTTGGATTATAGCCCATGATTCTCACAAATTGACGACCCCCAAGAAATATTTTACGCGTTCTCCAGAATTTTCAAATTTTTGTGACAACCCATGATTTTGGCCGTTTGATACTAAACTACAAACTGCCATTACACATGAAATATATATGCACACACCAAAATTCTCGAAGTACTGTGGACTATAGCTCATGATTAAGGCCATTTACTTCAAATCACAAATTTCCTTATTTAAACTCTGTATGGATATCTGAATCTGCCGGAAGCCCCAAATGAAGTTCAATTTCATTTTGATTAGCACCTAAAATTCAAAAATTTCCGTAACACCTTGATTATTTGTGCCTTCCCATAGAAGCATGTGCCAAGGACTTACCTATGAGCAAAGACAACATATAGACAGTGTGATGGTGTGACCTTAACATTTGGGGAACATGTTCCTTTAGGACATGAAATAACATCACTGTTTTTCTTGTGTGTTTTGAGGGTTTCTATTCTCTCTCTTTTTTATTTGGGGAGGGTGGGGTTGCTTTTGCTGAAAGAACAAGTGATTAAGGTAAAGGGTTTGTTCTTTGTAAAATGGCTTAGGCTGAAACTGTGTTTAGTGATGGTTAAAACTACGGTCAAGAAAGCAGGACTGCTGCAGGTGTTATTATCTTGAACATTATTACCGCACATGTCCGTGATGAGTTGAGAAGTAGTTACACACAATTTAATGAATAATAGAGAAGGACGTGATTTGAACGCCGAGTGCCAGCTATCACAAAAAAGTAATTAGAAGGTGCAAATGTGGGATTCATATCTCACCAGTACATAAATAATTGAAACCTCCTACCGAAAAACACAAAAACCCATCACTCATTTTTTTTTATAAATCTTTGATTGAAGTAAGATATCAGGTAGAAGGATGTCCTTTAAAAAAAATATTAAGAAGTTATCTTTCCTGTTTTTCAAGATATTTGTTATATTGCATGGTCTATCCAATCTTAAAGATCTCTGAAGACATTTTGCTTGCGAAACATTTTGTAGCTTATTTCTGAAGTATCAAATCCTGAAAGTCAGTGACTATAACATATAACATAGTGATGAACCAAGTTCCTTCTAGAACTTAAAGTAGTGATTATTGCAGCTGAGCAGGTTCTGAGTTTGATGATGTATAGATGAGTTGAGCAGAGCTTTGGAGATCTGCAATGCCAAAAACAGTGTAAGCGGGGTTCAGTTTGTATGGAGTCTGAGTAGGAAGAAAATACCCCGGAAATGGGCCCCTGCTCAACTGATTGTTGTTGATTGCAGTTCTCTGAAGCTCTCTTCAAGTCTTCATCATCTCAGCTCTCTTCAAGTTTTCATCATCTCAGTAATCCATCGTGAAGCTTGAATCATTTGCAGTGCAATTTGATCTTTATTTTGATGAGTCCAGTAGGAATTTTTTTTCACTCAGGAAATATATCTGCACGAAGTTTACATAATTTCTATTGAGCTGTTTACTTATAATTACTTTAAAAATTGTAGTTAATAAATTAACACCTTTCTCTTGATAACTGTGCTGAGCATTCAACTGCAATATATGTGGCCTTATCGACATCCGTGTCAGCTGCTGTCTATAGAGACCTTTTTTTTAAGAGATTAATTGTGGGCCAACATTTTTGTATAGCTGCGACTAATGAAATCATTGATGCAAAAGAGATTCAAATAGGCTCAGATTCTTTCAACTAAAAAACTAGTTGATGTGATTTTTTTGGCAATATGGGAATGGGTACAAAGTGTATCAGTTTACAGGCTAAAAATGACAATTTAGTATTTTAAGGACAGTTTCATGGTAATTTCCGCATGTTTGTTAGAGATTTTGTATTGCAAAGGGAATCCTTAACTTGCCAGCTGTTTTATTTACCTCTTGCCCTCAGTTATGTCTAAAATGTCCAAATCCACAGGGTTACTTGTGTTCCTCACTGTCTCGATAGATATAAAGAAAGAACATTTTCTTCTTATTGAATTAGTAATAATGCTATTATTATTTTTTTATCAAATTGCAATGGAAATATAAGTTCATTAAAATTTACCTTTCTTAATTTCCAGAGAGAGCTTGCGGGGCTTGTTAGTCGAACATTAAAAAGTTTCTTCATTGGATGGATCCAAATGGTTAAATTAGATATTTTAGTTCTAACGTTTTACTAGTTTCTATGTATTGTAAGTTTTGGTTCTTTACTGGATAAACTATGGACTCATATATTTTCGTGTACTTAAGGTGGCATAAACTCATCCAAAAGCCTTACGAGGAAGGCAATGAACGTGGTTTGAAATTGGTGCAGTCCATACTAAGGCAAATAATGCTAAGAAGGACAAAATCTAGTACAGATAGAGATGGCAGGTATCTTTGATGTTGGCTTCAAGGTGTAATAATTTCCATTTGTGGTTTATTTCTCTGTGAAATTTTATTTACTCTGTTACAGGCCAATTATTGTTCTTCCACCAGCACGTGTTGAGATAATTTATTGCGAGATGACAGCAGCTGAGAAGGACTTCTATGATGCATTGTTTAAAAGATCCAAGGTTCAGATATCCATTTATGCTACATATTATCTGATACAGTTTCATAGGCGGAAATGTTATTTCCAAAATGAGACTTTGTGCAGGTGAAGTTTGACCAGTTTGTTGCACAAGGACGGGTCCTTCACAATTATGCTTCAATATTGGAATTGCTTTTACGGCTTCGTCAGTGCTGCGATCACCCATTTCTCGTGAAGAGGTTTGCTTCTAGCTGCTTAGCGGGTTTAATGAGCTTAGTTTGAACTAGACGCTGAGCCAAACACAAACTGTTCGTGAGCAACTCATTCATTTGACAACCCTTAAACGTGACGTGTGATTTCAGTGGTGGGGAAAAAGTCCGGTGCTGATAAGTGCCCTCATATTTTGCACATCCACTGTTTTGGATTTCTTGTTTAGCTATAGCTGAATGTTTATGGTTAACTAGAATATAGAGCTCTTCATGAACTATGAAGAGAAAAATACCAAGTAACTGATGAAGCTCTGGAGCACATGAATGGTGGTTGTTTATCTGACTCAGGATTCGTTGCTGACACATATACCTTTGTTTATTCTTTATGACCTGTAAATCTATTTTTAGGTTTCATTGCTAGACAATTATGCTTTCAATACTGAACTTAATTTATCATTTTGTGGTTGATGCTCTTAATATTATACTTCTAGTTGTATTTATTAGTTTAACTATTAGTTAGATATTTACCGGAACATATTCTTATTATGTTATACTCAAAGCTTAGATTTTTTTGTCCCTTCCGCCACTCACATTATATACTTATACTACAAGTTCACTACTGATACATATCTTTAAATACAACTAGCAAGCTGGACTTGTACAGCTTCATGTTTTCGAAGGCTATATAATATTGGATTCTTTTTGGCTTCATTTGAAACATTTTCCCATGCCTTCTACTGTTTATACAACTAAATTATTGAGATGCTGATGATGAACTACGATTTGCCCAGTCGTGGTGATACCCGAGAGTTCTTAGATCTGAACAAGCTTGCTAAGCGTTTCCTGCAAGGCGGTAAGGATGCTATTGGTAAAGAATCCAACATTCTACAATCAGAGGCCTATATTAAGGAGGTTGTGGAGGAATTACGTAATGGTGAAGAAGGGGAATGTCCTATTTGCCTGGAAGTATATGAAGATGCAGTATTGACACCCTGTGCTCACCGCCTCTGTCGAGAGTGTCTCTTGGCCAGCTGGAGCAATGCTACAACTGGCTCTTGTCCTGTTTGTAGGTATACTCTGTTCTCTGCATTTTCTGTTATCTCAAATAACACACAAAAGTATCTTACTTATGATCAATCTTTTACAGGAGTATCATCAATAGGCAGGAGCTAATAACTGCACCCACCAGTAGCCGCTTCCAAATTGACATTGAAAAAAACTGGATTGAATCGTCAAAGATTTCCGTTCTTTTACAGGATCTGGAAAACCTTCGGTCTTCAGGATCTAAAAGTATTTTGTTCAGCCAATGGACTGCATTTTTGGATCTTCTTGAGATTCCTCTTTCAAGGTACATGCCTCCCTTGATGTCTGAACCTATAAGTTGGCTAGAAAAGTACAGTAACATATTTCTGGGCATTTTTTTGAGTGGTCAAAGAGGGAACAAACAATATCAACTGTTACTTAAGAGTGGCAAGGACCATTAAAAGAATCGTTCTGGAAATAATTCTTGGCTCATAACAAAAAAGAAAAAGAAGGTTTACTGCCTTTTAAAAACTGATATAAATCATCGTCTGCAAAAGCATTTACTAAAATTTCTGTGGTTTAGGAGTTCTAAATTCTAACCCCTGTCTTCGGTAATCTTAACTGTTTATTGTCAATTTGGTGTCTCGGGTCAAATCAGTGTTGATCCTTTGCCCAGCTCTCTAGTTGACTTGAATCCTTGTTCTCCTTCCCAAAGTGGACATTATGCCAACAGCGGTTGCAAATTTTTGTGTGTTTTCCTAGAATATGCTCACTATTTCTTTTTTTTTCTTTTTAACTGGAAGTAGAGATTGCAGTTGGTATATTCACACAAGTTCATGTTTTAATGTAAATAATTACAATTGCCAATACTGGATAGGTTGCTTCTTAAGTCAAGAAAATGCTCACAAGATGGACATATGTTTGTATTTGCGGATGTGCTTTTCATATTTTATTAGATACATAGTTAATTAACAATAACATGGGTTGCATTTTTAGAATGCCCTCCGCCCTCATATTATGGGTCGATATGCTAAACCCTCCCCACCCCTTCCGCGCATCCAAACGCACCCCCGCCCCAACTAGTTTTAAATTTGACCGAAAACCCCCCATTGCTCTTTTGAGGGGTGTTATGGATATGGATAACCCTCTTGACTTTTTCATTCGGCTTAACCTTCCTGAACATGGGGTGACGTCCACCCAAACCCCTCCAGATCTTAGCACTTGCTTTTACACTCATCCTGACTCGTCCTGCCCTAAAATGCAAATATGACCATATACATTGGGAGAAACCTCCCATTTAAAATTACTCAGTTAAAGAGTCCCGCCACCTGTAAAAGGAATACCCCTCTGTGAATTTTTTTTTGACAAACAAGAGTAGAATGGTGTGTTTAACAATCCCCCCCCCCGATCCCCCCACCCCCCATCACCCAAACATAAAAAAAGTAAAAAAAAATTGCTTTTTTTTGGTATGTGGCTTGTTAAATGACACGTTTATGACTATTGAGGGTGATTACTCTTTTTGAGGGTGAAGGTTCAGCACTACTGTTTTTTTTCTTTTTTTTTTTCTCTTTTGATCGGGATGGTTAGGGATGGTGGGGTGTGGGAAAGTGTGTAAGGCGAGAAAAGTGGTCGGATGTCAAGCTCGGAGTTAGAAGCAAAGTTCGAGGGGGTTCAGCTACAACACCCCAAATCGGGGAGGGAGAGGTATCAAATTTAACAATAGAATGCGACCCACAAATAGGAGTTTGAGGTTCTTATTCCCCGAGATGTAACCTAATAAAATATTACATAACAGTGACCTAATGTAAATGTTGTGCATGCAAGAGAAACTTCACATTTTTCGTTCTGGATGGCGACGACTCATTAAATCAGCACAGCCGAAGAAGAAAGTTTAATCAGATCAGGGTTTAACAGAATGATTGATAACATTCTGGTGTGCCATTTGACAGTATGTGATTCTATTAGATTGAACTTCCTGAAAAATTGAGCACGCTTAGTAATCTTTCATATATCTCTCCAAACAAGGGTACTTACTGATGTCTTTAACAAGGCTGGTGGTTTGAATAAACCTTACCGGCACATCTAATGCCTTTGTTGGATATGTGACATACTCTTTAAAAAAGCATGCCTCCAGATGTTTTGTAAAAAGCGTTAAAAACCCCGCTTAAGCCAGTTTTTAAGCATTAATGTCCCTGCCTTGCTCGTTCACCGTTTCTTCACCAGTGTTGAGGTTGTTTTAAGCAGAAGCGGTTCCATTGGAGACTGCTTCACAGCCAGTCCTCACTTCTGCACTTCTCTTTATGTGAGATGATTGAAATAATCTGAAAAGTCTGCTATATCCTCATATATGTATGATGCCATGCCAATACATGAACGAAAAATTTTAATATACAAGTCCATCTTTAGACAATCTAGTGGTAGTTACAGAAAAGAAGAATAGTTGCACCCCCCCCCCCCCTAAGGATAGTTTGGTGATGCGCTTCGGTTGGACAGAAACACCATTCAAATGTCATTTAAAATTTGACGCTAGCCATTAATTTTTGATCATGCATCATGATCATAAAGAAACTCGTGAGACTTAGAT